TGACACTGGTATGTAGCTAGTTAGGGTTACGAGTGGCCATCTGGAATTGTAATTCAGAAATGTGTATCTGTCGGAGATTGAAGCTGGATTGTGGGTACTTAGAGTTACAACCGTCCCTCTCAAAGTGTAATACAGAAATCTGTATTTGGTGGAGGTTGACACTGGGATGTGGGTAGTTAGGGTTACGAGCGTTCCTCTCGAAGTGTAATACAGAAATCTGTATTTGGTGGAGGTTGACACTGGTATGTAGCTAGTTAGGGTTACGAGTGGCCATCTGGAATTGTAATTCAGAAATGTGTATTTGTTGGAGGTTGAAGCTGGATTGTAGGTAGTTAGGGTTACGAGCGTCCCTCTCGAAGTGTAATGCTGAAATGTGTATTTCTTGGAGGTTGAAGTTGAGTTGTGGGTAGTTAGGGTCCGAGATACACCAGACGATACAAAGAGATTTCTTAACCCACCTACGGAGACTTGGATGCCCCGCAATGAGAGCTTTGTGTCATTTTATTAAGGGATATCGTCGTAATATATCTAGATGCAAAGTAAACTCCTAGTGTCTGGAATTATTCTAAATAGTGTGGTTTGGGATTGAAATCCGAATTAGTTTGAGAAAAGACATCTGTGGCATGGAGTAGGATTCGGCTAATGATGTACACAGGAGGTAAGAATCAAGAGTGTTTCAACAAGGTAACCTATAGGTCAGAATCCGAATGAGTTTAAGAAAACCCACAAGAGATGAGGAGTGGGATTCGCCCGATTCGGTCGCCAAGACTCACAAGGAGTTACCCTACCCAACAGCTCCCAACCACCCCCTACGCCCCTGCCATCACAACCAAGACCCCGGTACGTACATACTTGACGATGGCGATGGACTCGGGGCGGCCTATTCAATCGGTAGGCACGGAATCGGGAATTGTGGGGCGACGGTTCTTGGCCAACCTCGAAATCCGGTCCGAGATTGCCCTACCAGACTGCAACAATACACAATATGGAATGTCGGTCATGGATCGTCACTCACATATTGGGTTTCAAGTATTGCGAATATCATGATCCGAGATTGAAATCCGAATTACTGTTAGAAAACACACCCGGGCGGTAAGCTGAAGATCAGAATCCGAGTCGGTGCAATAAAACACACCAGGGTCAAGGAGTGTCATTCGCCCGATGCGGTAACCCGGAGGTCAGAATCCGAAATTCATGTATTCCATCGAAGCGGAGGATGGGGAAACGCGGCATCGTTAAATTTCGAGCGCCGTCATGATCGTGGGTTCGAGACGGTGCATTCGGTACCATGCAGGCATCGATCGTGGTACCCGCTGGGTGAATGGCGGTGCCGGGAGTGAACCAGGACAGGTCGCCAAGACTCACAGGGAGTTACCCTACCCAACAGCTCCCAACCACCACCTCCACCCCTGCCATCACGACCACGACCCCCTGTACCCACATACCTGACGATGGGGGTGGACTCGGGGCGTCCTGTTCGACCCATAGCCACGGAATCGGGAATTGTAGGGCGACGGTTCTTGGCCAACCTCGAAATCCGGTCCGAGATTGCCCTGCCAGACTGCAACAATACACAATATGGAATGTCGGTCATGGATCGTCACTCACATATTGGGTTTCAAGTATTGCGAATATCATGATCCGAGATTGAAATCCGAATTACTGTTAGAAAACACACCCGGGCGGTAAGCTGAAGATCAGAATCCGAGTCGGTGCAATAAAACACACCAGGGTCAAGGAGTGTCATTCGCCCGATGCGGTAACCCGGAGGTCAGAATCCGAAATTCATGTATTCCATCGAAGCGGAGGATGGGGAAACGCGGCATCGTTAAATTTCGAGCGCCGTCATGATCGTGGGTTCGAGACGGTGCATTCGGTACCATGCAGGCATCGATCGTGGTACCCGCCGGGTGAATGGCGGTGCCGGGAGTGAACCAGGACAGGTCGCCAAGACTCACAGGGAGTTACCCTACCCAACAGCTCCCAACCACCACCTCCACCCCTGCCATCACGACCACGACCCCCTGTACCCACATACCTGACGATGGGGGTGGACTCGGGGCGTCCTGTTCGACCCATAGCCACGGAATCGGGAATTGTAGGGCGACGGTTCTTGGCCAACCTCGAAATCCGGTCCGAGATTGCCCTGCCAGAGACTGCAACAATACACAAATCTGTATTTGATGGGGGTTGACATTTGTATTTGGGTGGTTAGGGTTATGAGTAGTAATCTGGAATTGAAATTCAGAAATGTGTATTTGTTGGAGATTGTAGCTGGGTTGTGGGTGGTTAGGGTTACGAGCATCCCTTTCGAATTGTAGTACAGAAATCTGAATTAGGTGGAGGTTGAAACTGGTATTTCGGTAGTTAGGGTTATGAGCGTACCTCTCGAATGGTAATACAGAAATCTGTATTTGATAGGGGTTGACACTAGTATTTGGGTGGTTAGGGTTATCAGTAGTAATCTGGAATTGAAATTCAGAAATGTGTATTTGGTGGAGATTGAAGCTGGGCTGTGAGTAGTTAGGGTTACGAGCATCCCTCTCGAATGGTAATACAGAAATCTGTATTTGATAGGGGTTGACACTAGTATTTGGGTAGTTAGGGTTATCAGTAGTAATCTGGAATTGAAATTCAGAAATGTGTATTTGGTGGAGATTGAAGCTGGGCTGTGGGTAGTTAGGGTTACGAGCATCCCTCTCGAATGGTAATACAGAAATCTGTATTTGATGGGGGTTGACATTTGTATTTGGGTGGTTAGGGTTATGAGTGGTAATCTGGAATTGAAATTCAGAAATGTGTATTTGGTGGAGATTGAAGCTGGGCTGTGGGTAGTTAGGGTTACGAGCATCCCTCTCGAATGGTAATACAGAAATCTGTATTTGATGGGGGTTGACATTTGTATTTGGGTGGTTAGGGTTATGAGTGGTAATCTGGAATTGAAATTCAGAAATGTGTATTTGGTGGAGATTGAAGCTGGGCTGTGGGTAGTTAGGGTTACGAGCATCTCTCTGGAATGGTAATACAGAAATGTGTATTTGTTGGAGGTTGAAATTGAGTTCAATTTGGGGCGCTGTCATGATCGTGGGCTTGAGCCGGTGCTTTCGGTACCATGCTGGCATCGATCATGGTACCCAACCGGTAAGTGACGGCGCCGGAAGTGCTCCAGAACAGCCCGCCAAGACTCACAGGGAGTTACCCTACCCAACAGCCCCCAACCACCACCTACCCCCTGCCATCACGACCACCACGCCCGGTACCTACATATTTGACGATGGCGATGGACTCTGGGCGGCCTGTTTAATCCGTAGGCACGGAATCGGGAATTGTGGGGCGACGGTTCCCGGGCAACCTCAAAATCCTCTCCGACATTCTCCTACCAGACTGCAACAATACACAATATGGAATGTCGGTCATGGATCGTCACTCACATATTGGGTTTCAAGTATTGCGAATATCATGATCCGAGATTGAAATCCGAATTACTGTTAGAAAACACACCCGGGCGGTAAGCTGGAGATCGGAATCCGACTCGGTGCAACAAAACGCACCGGAGTCAGGGAGTGGGATTCGCCCAATGCGGTAACCCGGAGGTCAGAATCCGAAATTCATGTATTCCATCGAAGCGGAGGATGGGGAAACTCGGCATCGTTAAATTTCGAGCGCCGTCATGATCGTGAGGTTGAGACGGTGCGTTCGGTACCATGCAGGCATCGATCGTGGTACCTGACCGATGAGTGACGGCGCCGGAATTGCTGCAGGACAGGCTGCCAAGACTCACAGGGAGTTACCCTACCCAACAGTCCCCAACCACCACCTACGCCCCTGCCATCACGACCACCACCCCCGGTACCTACATATTTGACGATGGCGATGGACTCGGGGCGGCCTATTTAATCCGTAAGCACGGAATTGGGAATTGTGTGGCGACGGTTCCCGGGCAACCTCAAAATCCTGTCCGACATTCTCCTACTAGAACCCTAACTAACCCTGACTAACCCTGACTAACCCTAGGTGGCTGACCACTTTTGTTTAACTGCTCCTAAAGTGGTCTTTCTATTGTGCTGGCATTGATGTCTCCCTCCCCTCAATTTAGCTTTGTTTTGTTGCAGTTTTGTAAAAATTTACGTTTCCGGCTTGTTACTTGAGTTAGTGTACAATATGGTGCCTACTTGCTATTGATACAGGGTAATTTAGTACACAATCTGGCACCAAGTAGATGTCAATTAAATCTCCGTTGTACAGCTATTTGGGACTCGATCTAGCCATTGCTTTGGTTCCTACATCGGTTTTCGTAAAGTTATCTAAATCTAATAGTAGATGCAAGCAGAAGGTGGTAATCAAAGTAGCAGGTAAGGTACCAACAGCTGAGGTATGAATGGGGAATCCTCACAGTATATTCTGTAAAATTTGATATCATTCGCCACTGACCAAGGAATCAGAACTAGGTTACGGCATATATTGTATTTCAGATCACCCAAATAAGCAAAGCATGATTGGTCATTTCAGAGATTGGTTAACCATGGTAGGTGAAAACCACAGGGAGCATGGAGAGCCCAGATTAGTGGGATTAGTGCACCGTTGACAGCTAATTATATATGACTCCATTGTTTTTTACTGATCTGGATTTGTTGGCGGAGAGGTGGTGGTGCAAGCCCAGGCTATGAAGGTGTAGGCTGTGGAGGTGAGAGTTATACATGAGAAAGTAGTGAAACCTTGCAAACCTGTATGTATTGCAGGTGCAAACTTGCTTTCGGTCAGGACGCAATGCATCCATACAGGTAAAACAATCGCTTCACGACGCTTGTTCTAGGAGGCAAAAGCAAGTCAACCGTACGTCCCCTATATAACAAAGGAGAAGTGGGTGAAGGGGACTGTACAGCACGTAGAACTGCATACTATAGGGGTCTCCGTGTTTTTGGGGATGGGGGGGGCTAACCTTAACCCTAAGTTCACCCCATCAGAAATGAGTATAATGGCAGGCGCAGGTTCATGCCGCTATGCTCGCCTCAATCGATGAAGACGGGCACCAAGCAGAGGATCACTACGTCTCCCCGTTAGCGAACCTCCTGTCCTCCATCGCACCGGCGGAAAAGATGGAGGACATCAAACGTCTTCTACACCCCTCCTTCCGTATGCGATGCTTCGACGTATTGCTGTCTGCGTTTGAGACAGCTACGAAGATCGTGGGGGTTCAATCCGCCATCAAAGCACTGAAGAAGCAGTTGTTCGAGAAGAAACTCCCGACTGCAGTCAACCCCATCGTACGGTCGAAGGTTGGCACTCAGTTCACCTCCCTATATCCCACGGAACTCAGGGAGAAAGCGGCTCGGGATATGGCCGCTATCCAACAAGAGTGCGCCCTCAGACTGCATCAAACCATCATCGAGCAGAAAGAGGCAGAGCTCGAATATCTCCAAGTCCTAAACTCCTTGGGAAATCTGGACGAACTGCTGCGTGCGGCAGTTAAAAAAGATTTCCTAAGTGCCAAGCTCCAACACGGGTCGCGCCCGGGACAGGAGGATGTCAACATGGATCTAGGCGATACCCCAACTGAGTCGAGAGACCAACGGGATATCGCTGGAGAAATGGAGATTCCCCAGTTTTTGTTGGTAGAAAGGGATGCAGCCCTAGCGCTTGCCCCTTTATTGGCAGTACGTGTCCTTGAGATGGCACGTACGAGGCAGGCAAACAAAGACTACCTCCTTGAGAAGAAAGTTTCTCTCAAGGAGCGTACGATCCTTCGAGTGGCACAGGAAACCCCTGAGTCCGAGGAAGCTAGACTTTCTCGACTCATTAAGGGAATCCTCTTGAAGGATAAAAAACAAGCCCATAAGACCAAAAATGTAAGAGAGGGTGACCCCCTTGTTGACTTTGCGCCGCTTACAATTTTAGGTCAAGAAACCGGCTGCCCCCAAGGGAAACAAACCTCAGGGGATCAAAAAATCGAAAGGAAAAGGAAAAGAGAAGGCGAAAGCCCAATCTACTCCACATCCAGCGTCGTCCACGAAGAGCCACAAGAGGAAGCCTTCAACAGACGGAAAAGGTGCCGAGAAGAAAGCGAAGCGATGAGGTTAGTAGCTCTCCCATTTAGCTTCGAAAACCCTTCTTCTTACCCGGATGAAATACTTCGGCTCCCCCCTTACCTACAAAACACAGTGCTGGCAGCGAAAGCTAATTCTAATCGATTTAGTAATCTTCGTCGGTTTTGGCCAGGTCCACATGTGCAGGAAGGAATCACGGTACCCGATTGGGTAACCTATGAATTGGGAGTCAATATGAAATATTTGTATCCAGTTACTTTTAATAAAGACCTCCTCACGGAAGCTTATAATGATTTTACCTACCGATTGCGTTGGAAATATTATTTCTTTAAAAGTGACAAAAAAGATGATGAAACGTGGAACCCGGACTTTAAGATCCCTAGGGAACGAAAAGATCCACCCAAAATGAGCTAACAGCTAGAGAGGGGTATTAATCGCGGCAGGCAAACATTGATTTCAATGTGCGGCAAACCCTTCAATACCAGAATAAACCGAGATCGTCGTCCTCGGTGGAAGCAGCTCTCTGAATTCCTAGAAAGTCACAAGTTGATGATCAAAGGAAGCGATAAAAACCTAGGCCCGGTCATTTTTGGACGCGACTGGTATGTCACGGAAGTTGAAAAATTACTCCAAGACAAAGCCAACTATTATGAACTAGATCCAGTAAGAGTCGGTGAGTACGAAGGTCCTCGTGACTGGATTACTTATGCGGATGCGGTAAATGGCGAGGTGCTTCGGCGTCACGTCCCTACTACTGCTGGATCATTCCAATGGTTGGCTAATACCATCCACGAAGTCGGACTTGAAATGAATTATTTCATTGAAGCCGCACAATCGGTGTTACCCGCTCAAGAACATGAATACCTTAAAAGGTGGAAACATGATGCGGACGTACCCAGGTTCCATGGAATCCCCAAGATCCATAAAGAACCCTGGAAAATACGACCCATTTGTCCTGGACATTCATGGGTAACATCCCCACTCGCAAAGTGGGTGCAGGTACAACTCAAAGACACGACTAAAGCAATCCCTTGGGTAGCCCAAAGCACCCGGGATGTCGTAGATTTGTTGGGGTTAGTCAACCTCCCTGCAAGAGGAACTGTACGTAACATTTACGTATGTACAGGGGACGTCGTAGCGATGTACCCCAATATACCTAGTAACGCTGCAGACATTGTCTACACGCTACTTCAAGAGTTCCCGGATTATCTCGCAGAACATCTAGTCAATCGACGTGATTTAATCCACCGTGCAATATCGATAGTCAATAAATTTTCCGTAATGGAATTTAATGGCAAATTCTACGCGCAGAAGAAAGGTTTAGCCATGGGAGCTGCTTGCTCCCCAGACGTCGCAAACCTCTATGCAGCGAAATATGAATTCGATAACCAGAGTAAACTTCTGGAGAAAGATGTCAACGGCAACGGAGTCTTATTCTATTGCCGTTATATCGATGACATCCTTTCTATTATTCAAGCAGACTCGATGGAGCAATGCAGAGCTATATTGAATAAGCACAACCTAGGCCCGACACTCCAAGTCGAATGGGCCATAATGCGCGAAGGCGAGGGACCTAGTCCATTCCTCGACTTAGATATCGATATCTTAACTGGAGAGACCCGCGTGGACTATAAACTCTTCAGGAAACCCTTCAATCACTTCATGCGCATACCATGGGAAAGTTCACATCCGATCACCGTAAAACGTGCCGGATTTCAAGGAGAACTAACCCGGATAGCCACCTGCTCGTCTCGGAAGGAATTCTACAAAACGGCAGTAGCAGAGTACGTGGAACTACTCACCGCACGTGGCTATCCTCGTCAAGTGTTACATTCTTGGACACAAAACGAAGTCGAAAAGAGATGGGGCCTCGCCAAAGATAAAAAAGAATCTGAACCACAAAGGCTCGCCCCGATAATTTTCAAGACAGAGTACAATGACGTATGGAATGGAGTTGACATTAACAGTGTCAAGGCTACGATACTGGAGACATGGAATGAGCTGATAGCGACGGATACCACCGATCGCACATTCGCAGAAGCCATCCGTGATCAAAGGTTTGTAATATCGTACAAGAGAACACGTAATCTCCAAGACGACGTGTCTATTCTTAACGCCAAACTTTCTCGAATGCACATTGATGACTTCAGAGAGATTGTTGACCGGGGTGCAAACGACCTCGCAGATCTATTCGCCGCTCAAAGACGGGAGGACGATAGTTCAACTGATGAAGACGATATAATGTACCAACCTCTAGTACCCTTTCGCGAGGCGAACGACAGCGGAGCTGAGTAAACGTCATGACCGTGAACAGATTCGCAGCAACGAACAGGCTATGGCTGTTCTATTGAGCGATGAGATGCGGAGCTTAACCGTTGAAGCCCCTGACCGGGCAACAACAAATTAGCACTGCGTAGGAGAGACCCGTGACCCCCGTTAGTGGGACGGTGGATATCTCTAGGACATGATTAGTCACTCAGTTTTAACGTTATGTTAGAATCGGATGTTGACCAAATCCAATCCAATAGCCTTGAGCTACGGAAAGGAAGGCAACTAGATGACCTGGACCACGGTGTTCGAAACACCGTCCCCTTCGGGGGGTTACTTTAATAGTAGCACCAGGCTCGAAACCCTAACCCTAACCCTAACCCTAGGCTAACCCTAATTGAGTAAGTGTACCCACACTATTCTATTTACGGGCAGTTTAGTAATACATTGTATTTGTAATGAGGTGTACCCCCACCCTTGCAAGCGGGCTAATAGAATGTCCGACTCCGACCCGGAGTCGGGACAATACTATCCCGCGTCTTGGCGCGATCTTATGTATATAAGCGCACCATCGCTGCTGCCCTGAAGAGCTTCATCATACAGCGAAACAGTAACTGAGTACCCCAATACCTTTACTGTCGGCACCATCTTGCAGCTCTTCTCGAGATCTTTGTTCCCCATTTAACTAACCCTAACTAACCCTAACTAACCCTAACTAAATAACAGTTCCCGAGATAATATTGCCATCTCAGTAAGTTCGATACTACGATTATCAAATGCAAGAGTCTCCATAGATATTTCATCTGTGAGGTTTTGAGGTTGGGGTAACCCAAAATGAGTCAACATACTAACTTGAGCAGCCAAATGTCTTGCAATCCCCTCCAAACATTCATTCATAACCATTATCGGGGAATCGTATTGGTCAAGATAATCTGCCGAGAGTGCCTCCTGATATTCCTTGAACAATTCAATGGCTGTCACTGGAATATTCATCAGGAAATGTGCAAACAGGAATCGTGGCTGTTTAGGACTGCAAAAGCTTTGGACAGCTTCTGCCATAATTTCTTTCCACTCCAACTGATTTTCGAAGAGACCTAATGCTGCTGCTGCCTCTTGAAATGTTGAGTATGTAATTTGATTGACAATTTTTAGGTCCTCGAAACAATAAGCTGATCGATGCAGTAGGAGCGCTCGCAAGTAGAATAATTCTCCAGTTTTAGGAGGGACTGTATCGATTCGGGTTATTGCTTCATTCCTTCTCCTAGCTCTTACAATAAACTTTGGATAACTATTACATATTTCTTCAAGGAAATCGGTATTTTTGAAAGTGGTTGACGACTTCGAGTACAGAATCCACTTCTCGTCATATTGAATATAAGTCAAATTTTGGAAAATGTATTTCGGGGCCTAGAGAAATATCTAAGCAAAGTAGATGCTGTAGATTCTCCATAATCCTTTCGATACATTTGAGGCATGTTTCTTACAGGTAGATGAACTGTAAGCGATTTGGCTGCAGGCGATCGATCTGTTATATGCTATTGCAGGATCCTTCATCCTGCCTCCGAAGCAGACAGATATCTCGTATTGATATAGTCATTGACCTTATCAACCTCCTGGTGTCCTTCAAAACTGAAAGAAAATAATGTTCGATCTGGTCGTTTAAATCAATATTTATATAGATACATGAAAATATTAACTGTAAAACATATATCGAGATTAACATGACATTCTAGTAGTTTCGTAAGAAATGGCATATACGATGCTAGCTATCGATCATCTTCTTTTCTTCTTCTATACTGTACTCGACCATATCGATTAAGCTCTGTAGTTTCCCGAATCGCTTGTGGGTATCCCCAAATACAGGATACATTTTTGTTGCACCGACTGTTAGGAGAATTTAAATGTGTTTGGGGGTGTAGATTGAATCGTAGAACCAATTCTCGTAGGACAGCATCTTCCTCTTCTGTCGGTACTTCGATGGAGACAATGGAATCAATAGCTGAGAAAGGTAACTCGGGATTCACCTACAAATTTTAGCATTAACCTAAATTGGGGTTTAGATTATCTTACTTTAATAACAACATGTGCATGTGGTAACCCCCTCTTTTGAAATTCAATAACCCGAACAATGTAAACTGTTGTTCATAAATGACTCCAAATTTTGGCAATGGCATTCTCTAGCTTTGCTTTAAATACCCGACAAACAATAATTGGTATATCTGAGGCATTCTGTCCTGGATTTAATCGTTCTTTAATTTCTGGCCAGTTAGGATTTGTTGTAATCGTGATAAAAAATGAGGGTTTGCCTCTTGACAGACAGATAGCAAGAGAGTCGGCACCCTGATTCGATGCCCATGCTCGGGAACTTAGGAAAGAGTTCGGTAGTGTTGTGCCTTTCTCGATGGGTAAATCACATTCTGCCTCTGCAATTTCAGATTGCTGGTTGTATTGTCTCTCTCATCATTTTCGTATATAGTCCAATCTTTCATCTTCCACTCTCGAGTACATATCCACCAAATATGCTCCACACAATCTACCAAACCTCAGAAATCGGTTCTCTGTTGTGAGCCTGTCTCTATACCATCGAATTTGACTGATATCGGATTTGCAGTCCCAACCAGGTGTACCATTAGGAAAGAAAACAGGATATTGTAATGGCTCGTAAAGGGGACTTAATATACTGATAGCTTTTGGAAAATCGAGAATATTGTTGTAAACTAATACACTTCGAGGGTAGACTTTTTGTATATTGTTGGCATA